CCTGGTTTTGGTATCAGGGTTATGCTGGCTTCATGGAATGAGTTTGGGAGTATTCCATACTTTTCTATGCTCTGAAATACCTTTAGTAGGAGTGGTGTTAACTCTTCTCTGAAAGTTTGGTAGAAGTCTCCAGTGAAGCCATCTGGGCCACTGCTTTTTTTGGTTGGGAGTTTTTTAATTACCTTTTCAATCTCTTCTTTTGTTACAGGTTTATTGAGTTGTTCTATATCTGTTTGTGTTAGTTTTGGTAGGTAGTGAGTTTCTAGAAATTTGTCCATTTCCTCTAGGTTTTCAAATTTGTTAGAGTCCAATTTTTCATAGTATTCTGATTCTTTTAATTTTAGTTGAATTTCTTGTGATATCACCCATCTCATTTCTTATACGGGTCATCTGCTTCCTCTCCTGTTTTTCTTTTGTCAGTTTGGCCAATGGTTTATCAATTTTGTTGATATTTTAAAAAGGCAGCTTTTGGTCTTATTTACTTTCAATAGTCTATTTTCTATTTCATTTAATTCTGCTCTAATTTTTTATTATTTCCTTTCTTCTTGTGCCCGAGGGCTTCTTTTGCTGCTCTCTTTCTATCTGTTTGAGTTGTAGGGTTAATGTTTTTATTTTGGCCCTTTCTTCTTTTTGGCTGTGTGCATTTATTGCTATAAATTGCCCTCTAACCATTGCTTTTGCTGTGTCCCAAAGGTTCTGGTAGGATGTCTTTTCATCATTATTTGACTCTGTGAATTTCTTAATTCTGTCCTTAATTTCTTTTACAACTCAGTAGTTTTTGAGAAAGGTGTTGTTCAGTTTTCATGTGTTTGATTTTTTTTTCCCTTGCTTTTTCTGTTATTGATTTCTGCTTTTATGGCTTTATGGTCAGGAAAGATGCTCTGTAATATTTCCATGTTGTGGATTCTGTTAAGGCTTGCTTTATGGCCTAATACGTGGTCTATTCTGGAGAATGTTCCACGTGCGTTGGATAAGTAAAGTATACGTGTCTGCTGCTGGGTAGAGTGTTCTATATATGTTTATGAGGTCAAGTTGGTTGATTGTAACATTTAGATCTTCTGTGTCTTTACTGAGCCTCTTTCTGGATGTTCTGTCCTTCACCGAAAGTGGTGTGTTGAAGTCTCCTACTAATATTGTGGAGCTCTCTCTCTCTGTTTTCAGTGCTGTTAGAGTTTGTTTTATGTATTTTGGAGTCCTGTCATTGGGTGCATAAATATTTCTTACGGTTATGTCCTCCTGGTGTACTGACCCTTTAATTATTATATAGTGTCCTTCCTTATCCTTTGTGGTGGCTTTTACTTTAAAATCTATTTTGTCAGAGATTAATATTGCCACTCCTGCTCTTTTTCAGTGTTGTTTGCTTGATGTATTTTTTTCCATCCTTTGAGTTTTAGTTTATGTCTTTAAGTCTAAGGTGTGTCTCTTATAGGCAGCATATAGATGGGTTGTGTTTTTTAATCCATTCTGCCACTCTCTTTATTGGTGCATTCAGTCCATTTACATTCAGTGTAATTATTGATAGGTATGAGTTTAGTGCTGTCATTTTGATGTCTTTTTTTGTGTGTTGTTGACAGTTTCTTTGTTCCTCTTAATTTTTTGTGCTGAGTTGTTTTTCTTTATGTATTTTCATCTTTTTCACTGTTGGTTTTGTATTTGCTGAGTCTTTATGTTTTTTTTTTTTGTTTTTTATTTTGATGTGTAGGATTGTTAGTTTCCTTTGCAGTTACCTTAATATTTACCCCTATTATTCTAAGTTAAAACCAATCTTTTACTTCTTTATATCACTGTATATTAAAGATCTATGACTACATTTTTTAGTCCTTCTTTTTTGTTTTAATGTTGTTATCTTTCACATACTGATGTCTCTGCTTCCCTATGTTCAGTGTTTTAGCTTTATTTTTGTGACTTCCCTATCTGGGTTGATACCTGGTTGCTCTGTCCTGTGGTCTAGTCTTATTATCTGATGTTACTGATTTTCTAACCAGAGGACTCCCTTTAGTATTTCTTGTAATTTTTTTTTTTTTTTAAACAAATCCCCTAAACTGCTTATCTGGAAATGCCCTAATTTTGCCATCATATTTGAGAGGCAGTTTTGTTGGATATATAATCCTTGGCTGGCAATTTTTTTCCTTCAAGGCTTTATATATGTCATCCCATTGCCTTCTTGCCTGCATGGTTTCTGCTGAGTAGTCCGAGCTTAGTCTTATTGACTCTCCTTAGTAGATGACTTTTCGTTTATCCCTAGTCACCCTTAAAATCCTCTCATCTTTGGTTTTGGCAAGTTTGATTATAGTATGTCTTGGTGACTGTCTTTTGGGATTTACCTTATGTGGAACTCAATGAGCATCCTGGGTATCTTCTCATCTTTCACGGTATCAGGGAAGTTTTCTGCCAACAAATCTTCAACAATTTTCTCTGTATTTTCTGTTATCCCCTCCTGGTACTCTAATCACTCATGGGTTATTCCTCTTGATAGAGTCCCATGTAATTCTTAGACTTTATTTTTTTAACTTTTTTAATCTGACTTTTCCTCAAATAAGTTGGTGTAAAGTGCTTTATCTTCAATCTCACTAATTCTGACTTCCATTGCCTCAGTTCTGCTCCTATGATTTTCTATTGAGTTGTCTAATTCTGAAATTTTATCGTTAATCTTCTGGATTTGTTCGCTGTCTCTCTATGGATTCTTGCAACCTGCTAAATTTGTCACTGTGCTCTTCTACAATCTTCTTAAGTTCCTTATTGCTTTGTGTGTTCCTTGGGTTGTTCTGTGTTTTGCCTGATCTCCTTCCTGATCTTTTGAGGACTTCCCTGTATTCATCTTTTGTATTATACCTCTGGTAATTCCACGAAGTTCTCTTCCTCTGGAAGATTTCTTGATTCTTTGTTTTGGGAGCTTGCTGAAGTCATTGTGATCTGCTTCTTTATGTGATTTGATATTGATTTTTGTATCTGAGCCATCGTAAGTTATTATATTTATTTATTTTGTTTGCTTACTGTGTCCTAGCTTCTTCTTTCGTTTTGACATGCCCAAATACGCTGCTCACGTGAGCTAGTTTGATTATTGGCACCTTTGAAGCTCTAATGTCCTGCCACCAGGTGGTTAGATCTGTTACTAGGTATGTGAGCCCAGGAGCCCGTTTACTTTTCTTGCATGGATTCAGCTCAGGTGTCCAGATAGTCAGGCATGAAGTGTGTGGTGCAGGCTCTCACCTACAGTCCTAGACAGGCAGGGGTGACTGCTGTAGGCACAGGTATCTGGCTGCAGTAGGGGGTTACACACTGCGCAAGGCAGGGGGCTGATGGCTGCCTCTGAGTGTCTGGGAGGAAACCATGTTCCTGTTCCCTAGAGTGCATAGGTGGGTGGGTTTTGCAGCTGGACTATGGGCACCCAGTGCTGTTGGCTGTAAGGACTAGGGGGCAACTGTTATTCTTGGACCCCTGTTGCAGGTGGCTGGGTGGCGTGGGTGGACCACCCACCAGTCCTCAGGCACCTGATGTGGGTAGGTGAGGACCCTGCTTAATGGGCAGAATGGTTATCAAACGTCATAAACCTGCCACTCCGCCATGTAGCTGATACAGTGAAGTTAGGCTTCAGGTATATATCCTGTTATACTGTACTAACGAGGGCCTACGCCGTTGAAATGGGCCCAGACAGGTCTATGCAGGGGTGAAAGGCATTCAAAGTCTGTGGTCCTCTTATACCAGTGCCTAGGCAAAGGAGCTGTGCCTGCCCTGAGTTCCTGGCTTAGAGGAGCTGATGGATTATTTTTTCGTGCTTGTTAATTTCTTCCCTCTCCAAAGCTGGGAGAATGGCTCAGGGCATCTGACAAGTCCTACTTCTGGCAGCAATGGCTGAAGCCGGCCCAGGAGCCAGTGCAAAGCGGGGAGGGAGCAAGTAAATTGGAGAGAGTTTCTTCCCAAACAGGGTGTTTTTTGATCTATGCAGTAGGGTAAATGCATGTACTAATCTTTTGCCAACTGAGCGCCGCTTTTCACTGGTTCTGGAGGCCTGAGCAGACTCTCCACCGTTCGGTCTCTCCCGACGTGGAAAATGCATCCCGAACACCACTGCCAACCTCACAGCGCACGCCAGTTGATCTAGCCCACAGGGCCTGGGCTCCCGCTGGGTCAGGTCTGGCAACTCCTTGCTGCTTCTGAACCATCTCTCCCTCCCCCTGCCACTCAGTCCAATTCCTTAACTTTGCCTTTGATGTTCAAGGCTCCTAGGTTGTCATATATAATTGATTCACTTTTTTTGGGTGTTTGTTGTAAGAGGGACCACTGGAACCATCCAACTACTCCGCCATCTTGCCCCCACCCTACATCTGTATTTCTGATAAACAGATTATTGATGGTAATTTTAAAATTCCATATTCATTCTACAGACACTTAGTTCTATAGAATTCATACAACTTTAAGGGATACTTTTAATTTCCTGGGCCCGGTAACACTTAATGTAGAAATTCTAATTAAAAATTTTATTTATAAATATAAAAAAATACCTGTTTGTATAGGCAGAAAACTGTCACCACAACCCATGTAAGTGTTCTATACTAAGAAGAAAATATACATCTTTAATGATATTTTATACCTGGCAGTCATCCACTTTTGTTCTCATTATGCCTTTCATGTATTCTTTGTCCATGGTAGGAGAGACACCAAAACTGTTTCCCATGCATAGTATCTCTGCTTTTCCATCTGGATAAGTAACTTCCACAGAACCATTCAGAATCACTGACCAGGAGTCCAGCTAATCAAAGGAGGAAAAAAAAAGAGCAGAAAATAATATCTATTTAGAATATTTTGAATGAATATGTATAAAATAAATATTTTAAGTATACATTATATTTATTTCATTCCTACAACCTGAAGTGTTAGAATGGTCCCTAAGAATGATTACAGATCTTTCATTTTAAAGATAGAACAAACCATCTCAAGCATTACATATATTTTACATGGAATATCATTTTGTTTTTTTCTTCTAAATTTTATTTATTTTGTTGTTGAGAATATACACAGCAAAATATTTCAACAGTTTCTATGTGAACAATTTAGTTGCACTGATTACATTCTTTGAGTTGTACAACCATTCTCACCTTCCTTTTCTGAGTTATTCCTTCTTCAATAACAAAAACTCACTGTCCACTAAGGTTCCTATCTAATCTTTTGAGCTGCTGTTATCAATTTGATCCCATACAGATAGCTCTTAAAAGAGCATAATGCTCAAGGTAAACCTTTTTTACTAGTTAAGCGAAACTATTTTAAGAGGGACTTCAGGGGATATTTTTGGTTTAAGGTTTAAAGATTATCTTAGGGCAATAGTTTCATGGGTTCATCCACCCTCCATGGCTCCAGAAATCTAGAGTACTTGAGAATCTGGAATTCTCTTCTGCATTTTCCTCCTTTTGATCAGGATTATTCTATGTAATCTTCAATCAAAATGTTTAGTAATGGTAGCTAGACATCATCTAGTTTTTCTGGTCTCATGGCAAAGCAAGCAATTGTTCACAAAGGCAATTAGCCACACATTCCATATCCTCCTCTTCCTCCTGACTCTGTTGCTCCAGGTGAATAGAGACCAATTGCAGTGCCTTGGTTGGCCGCTTGAGAGCTGTTAAGACCTCAGGTACTATGCAACAAACTAGGAGGTAGAACAGAAGCACTAATGCATTATTAGCCCAATTAACTGGGATGTCTCATAAAACCATGACCCTAAACCTCCAAACACAAGCAGTGTCAGCAGCTACTCTTTTGTTGTTGTGGTGGTGCTTGTACATATCTATCACATAACGTTTGTCAATTCAACTTTTTACAGGTATACAACTTACTGACAGCAATTACAATAACTGGCTGTACAACCATACACTTAAATCAATGTGATTTTTCCATCACCATTAACCCTCCTTACCCCCTTCCTGCCCCTCGTAACCAATAATAAACTTTGGTCTCTATACATTTGTCTTTTCTTGTCTTTTTATATAAGTATATTAATATACTTATTAATACAGTATTTATCCTTTTGTGACTGGCTTATTTCGCTCAGCATAATGTCCTCAAGCTCCAACCATACTGCAGCATGTATGAAGACTTCATTTCTCCTACTGGCTGAATAGTAATCTATTGTATGTATGCACCATATTTTGTTTATGCATTCATCTGTTGATGGACATTTAAGTTGTTTCCACCTTTTGGCTATTGTGAATAGGACTGCAATGAACATCAGTGTATGACTCTCTTTTTGAGTCTCTGCTTTCAAGTCTTAGGTGTATATACCTAGGAGTGGAATTGCTGGGTCATATGGTAGTTCTGTTTTTAGTTATTTTGAGGAACTGCCAGACCGTTTTCCACAATGGCTGTACCACTTTGCATTCCCACCAGCAATGGATAAGGATTCCAATCTCCCCACATCATTGCCAACATGTTATTTTCTGTTGTTGTTTTTGTTTTTTAATCTTAGTCATCCTAGTGGCAGTGAAATGTTATCTCATCGTGGCTTTGACTTTCATCTCTCTGATGGCTAATGATACTGAGCATCTTTTCATGTGTTTGGTGCCCATCTGAATGTCCTCTTTGGTGAAATGTCTATTTAAGCCCTTTTCCCATTTTATGATTGGGTTTTCTTTTTGTTGTTAAGTTGTCAAAGTTTTATGTATATTTTCATTATTAGATTCTTGTTGGATATATGGTTTCCAAAGATATTCTCCCAGTTGGAAGCTTGCCTTATCACTTTTTTGGTAAAGTCTTTTGAAGAACAAATGTTTTTAATTTTTATGGGGTCCATTTATTTATTTTGTCTTCTGCAGTTTGTGCTTTTGTGATTATATTAGCGTGGTGCAATGAATTACTTCCAGCCATCGTGTGTATGACTCACACACAGTGAGTCAGACTATGTAAATGAGGTGTATGGAACCTGTGATGGTTGGGGTTATGTGTCCGCTTGACTAGGCCATGACTCCCGGTATTGTGTGGCTGTCCTCCATTTTGTGATCTGATGTAATTATCCTAATTATCCTCCATTTATGTGTTATAAATCCTAACCTCTGTATGTTAATGAGGCAGGATTAGTGTGGGGTATATTTTGAGTCACAGCCTTGTGGAAGGGCGTGGCTCAAGTCCCACCTTTACTCAAGTTATTCCATAACCTGGGGTGTACCCTGCATCCAAGATATATATGAGGGGGCACTGACGGGGCTCTGTCTGTATCCGGATCCTGTGTCTGGCTCGTCACTATCTGACCTCCGTTTCTTAGGACTTTAGCGAGCAGCGTGCCATCTGACCTGTCAATTCTGGGATTTGCCAGCTTCCACAGCCTTGTGAGCAGCTGCCTATCATCTGGCCTGCCGATTTGGGTCTGTTGGTCCCTGCGGCCATGTGAGTCAGGAGAATTCTATGCCTGACACATGGATTTGGGACTTGCCAGCCTCCACAACTGCGTGAGCCATTTCCTTGATATGGTTCATGAGTTCTGTGAGATGCTGTAGTGAATTAGCAAATCCAAAGACAGGAGGGAGAGTACTGAAGGGAGGAGGAGTAGTTGATATTAGAGATGGAGTGGTACAGCAATTTAGAAGAGCTGGACATTTGGGACATCTTTAACCTCCGCCTCATATGAACTAGCTTTGTGCTAATCTTTAATAAAAGAAATTATTCATTTAGTTGGTGTCAGAAGTGGGATTGTTGCAATGGCTCCAGATTCATGGAAGCATGGGACTTTGTAAGAGAAAGAACAAAGCAGCATGGGAAGTGAAACTCTTGATTCTTGGGTGGTTACTTTGTTGTTATATGTAATGGCTGAAAGGAAAGAAAGAGATGTTATGCTGCAGCTGAGGTGAGAAAAGCCACATCTGCAATAGCTTGGGGGCAAAAGCCAGGCCAGATAAACAAGATGATTGATAGGGGGGCAGGGTCTACTGGTTCCACCCAGCCAGAGGCCCAATGCCATGTGCACATGAATGGAAAGATAGTCAAGGAGTTCATAAAATGAAACTCGAATGTTTTTAAAAAAGGATTATATGTTTATTTTAATGTACTATGAACATTGAATGTTTCTTCTACGTGGTGTTGTAAAACAGACCTAAATGTACGACAGAAGTGACTATCGGGTATTACAGGTGACAGCGTGCAACTCTGCCTTCAGCCAATACCTTAAATGGATCTGCTAAAAGGGGAACTAGGATTTACTCAATGAAACACAGGCTTTTTGTTTCAAGCCAGTAGCCCTGTGTATAGAGTAGGGGCTTAGGTAAAAAATCTGAGCCCTATCCAGAATTTGCATTGAAAATCAAGCAGATTCACTCAGGACTTCTGGGAGAGGAGAACATTTGCATTTGAAGGAAAGACCTGCAGAAAAGAAAAATGACTGTTTTACTTTTTGAATTCCCAGCAAGCAGTTTGCCTTTTGGTACACTGAAGCAGGAAAAGTCAGTGCCCATCAGAAGGAAATCCCTTCCAGGAATGGAAGTTAACGGGAGCCAGAAAGTAGACACCTTGGTCTGCTCGCTCGTGGTGACCACCTGGGTCCACTCAATGAGTGGAAGTGGGGGAACTGCAGCAATGAAGAGATGGGCTGAGTTTGGGGATGTTCCATTGGCACCTGCTGACCTAGCCCATGGGGGCTAGGGATGAGAGAGAGAGGAAGGGCTGGCTGGTCAGAAGTAAAAGGAGTTGTGTGTGGACTCCTAAGTTTATGGGTGGAACCCGCTGACCTAGCCCAAGGGGGCTGGCGATGAGAGTGTGAAGGGGCTGTCTGAAGTGCCCGGAGATGTGTGTCAACTCTCGAGCCTGGGGCTGCTCCCCATTGTGAGCGAGCTTGGATGGCCAGGGATGAGCTGACCAGAACCTGACTGAATGAAGAGGAAGATGTTTGACACCGTGAGCTGGTGTAGACTGTGGCAATCTGATGCCTTGCTCTGGATTGGACTTTGCTTATGGATACAGATGCTCAAAGTTCCAACCAGAACAGAAGATTCTTCAGATAAAGGAACATGCTTGTCTCCTCAGAGTACTGGTTTGATAGGGACAGGCAATTTAAACATTGGCTATCTAAAACGGGGAGATAAAAGGCATGAAGTGGCTAGCTTACATGCATTTGTGGGTATGCTTACACTCAAAATGAGGGGGCCAAGAGAGGATCCTCACTGAATAGATTCCTCTTTTCCTGATGGATCTGGGGAAGAGAGGGTGGCGGAGATGTTGATAAGATTATATGATTCACCTGGGAGCACTGACTGTTAACAGGGTTAACTGTGATTGAAAAAACTATAATTGTAGAAGCTGTAAGTGTGAAAGAGTGGACTAAGGGGGAGGCAATGCTGGACTGGAGTACAGTGGTCAAACCTAAAGTCCCTTAAAGGTTCTGCTATGCTCATATCTCATAAGGCTCACAGCAAGGGGATAATCTTTTCTTAGTTAAATTTTATCAGACAACAGAAACCGTGAAGCCAGGATGACTTACAGAGAACCTGACCAGATCAGATGGACACCTGCTGCAGACCTGGATGGCTGGTACCTGAGTAACCTCATCTTTAGGACTCTTTGCCCTACTGAAGAACTGACTGCTAATGATTGTTTTGGACTGAGAAAACGACTGGGAAGGGGAAGTTATCCTCCAAGCATGAAAGAACCGTGGCAAGAAAAGCCAGGGGTGGCCTACAGTACAATGGATCGCTTTTGTGTGGTCTTTCTAGCCATGGTCTTACTCCCACCCAAGTGACTGGGTGAGATTATACAAATAAGGTAATTGTGCCTCACCAAAGAGATGATCAGTTCTGCCATTCTGGTGGCTTAAAATGAGCCACCCCAGAGGCAGAAAGAGAGGATCTCACCACCAGCAAGGAAGAAGAGCTAAGAGCGAAGCACGTCCTTTGGAATTGGGATTCCTGCGCTGACACCCTCCTAGATCCAGGAGACAGAGAGAGCTGTAACACTGAAGATGGCAAGCAGCAGCAGCAGCAGTGAAACGGTGGCAGCAGAACCAGGAAACTAGCAGTAGACAGCTCAGTCCACAGAGCAAGAAAGCTGAGTGCAGAACGCTTGCTGGAAGAGTCAGGTGCCTCTGGGCCAAGGCTTACTGGCGGAGTGGGGGGTGCCTCTGGGCACTTACCAGCAGAGCTAAAAGAGCTTTGTAACACTTGCCTGAGCAGGGCAAGCAGGGTAGAGGCTGAAGGCCAGAAAGAGGTGTGCTTACAAGCATGGCTGAGAAGAGACTGTCCTGATGGCAGAACTTTATCCTGAGCGTTCCTAAACCTGAACTGTAACTTGTTACACTTCCCTAACAAATCCCATAACTGTGAGTATTGTCTGTGAGTTCTGTGTGGCCACTGCAATGAATTATCACTCAGCAGAGAAGTAGACAGCATTGTGGGAGGGACGGTTTGCAACAGAATTGGTAAAGAAGGCAGAGAGAGGAGGCATCTCTGACCTCCACCTCATAGGAATCAGCCTTGGGCTGTTGATCTTGATTCTCCTTCCCCTGTGTGAAGTTACAGGAGGTCGGACCTGCCATCACACCACTGTTAAAATTAGATAATCTACTGTTGAAAGCTAGATCTGACAGTGCTACCCCTGTTTGTTCTTCTAAGAATTTTATGGCTTCAGTTTGCACATTTAGATCCTTAATCCATTTTGAATATGTTTTCGTGTATGGCATAGATCCTGTTTCATTTTCCCAGCATCATTTATTGAAAAGACTCTTCTGTCCTCATCGAATAGACTCAGCACCCTTGTCAAAACTCAGTTGACCAGAGATGTGTGGGTTTATTTTCTGGACTTTCAATTCTATTCCATTGGTCTATTTATCTATTGTTACAACAATACCAGGCTGTTTTGATTACGTAGCTAGACAGTATGTTTTAAGATCAGGAAGCTTGAGTCCTCCTACTTTGCACATCATTTTGGTTGATAAAAGGCATTATAGATATATATATAT